AATTAAATTATTTAACTATTCTATCATCAATAAAATATAATACATATCACAATTTCCAATCTACTTTTTCCCTCCCACTTTCCATTCCACTTTCCTCCATTAAACAACATTTTCTTTCCAATTCCCTCTAATTTCCATCCCTTCCAAACTTAACCTCCCCTCCAAATTTTCCTACCCTCCCCTCCTTTCCCTTCCTTCATGAACATAGTGTAAAAGTTCAGGTACCAAAATGTTAGAGAAAAAAATTCTAGATACTAAAATTTAATTTTTCATCTATATTTGAAGAACTTATATGTAAACAAAAATTAATTTTAGGCACTAAATATTAAGATGGATAAAGTTTGGGTACCACTATAATTTGTATAAATAAACCTATTATTCCAACGTAGAAAAGAGGAAAAGGGAAAAGGGGAAGTGATGCTATTGGTATATTCTTGTGAACATTGGTGGGTAAGTGAAATTTGAAGGGAAAGATGCAAACAAGGTTGTCAAACCGGTTTAAATTATTAAGCCGGCCAATTGAGGAGTTTGAGGTTTAATGGTCTGATAAGGGTCCGACTGGTTTGAACCGTTGTAGACGTTTTTTAAATATATATATATATATATATATATATGTGGCTACTTTGGTGCACTCACTTTTTTGGGTGCACTCAGTGCACCCAACTCTAAAAGTGTCCATAATACATCAAATTTTGAACTTTAATTAATACTCTCAATCTAATACGATGATATAACATAGAATCATAACAAATCAATGTACTACCCTAACCCCTTAACCTTCAATTTTGAATCCCAACCCAAAATCCCAAATTGTAAACCTAAACCCTAACCCTAAATCACTAAATCCTAAATCCTTCGAATTAATGTAAATTTTGAATGAATTTTTTTCAAATTCATGTGCTTCTTGTTCATAATATCATAAGCAACAATTGATACCGTTTTGACATGAATCGCATGCTCAAAATGACAATTATGAGGTGGGTGCACTCGGTGCACCCGAAAAAGTGGGTGCACCGAATACGCCACCATATATATATATATATATATATATATAAGTTAGTAATTAAAAATTTAATAACTGAAATGAAATTTATCTCACATGTATCTATTAAAAACTTATTTTTCACATGTTAAATCTACCTAACCTCAATGACCCACCCACCATCTCCCTTCCTTCGTTCCTCTTCCTCTCTTTCCTCTCTCTCTTCTTCCTCTTTAGGGGTCAGACTGTTTCTGTGGACTATTTTGAATAGGGATGGCAACAAAACCCGAACCCACGGGTACTGTCACCAACGAGGCTCAAGAGTCCAGAGAGGCTGCTCGAGGTCGATGGAGGCATTTCGTAGCAAGGACGCGACGAGGGCGTCGCGAGCATAGGTGGGGGAGGATGTCACATGTGGCCGATGACATGGCGCCAACAAGGTGACAACAAGGCGGCTGCACATGTGGCATGTATGGAAGACTAGTAGCATAGAGATGCTCCTAGGATTCTCCACCTAAATGAGAGCTTAATGGTGCACTTATGGGCTACATTATGGGTAGCATTATTAGGGTGCATTATGGGGGAACTTTATGGGGTGTATTGATGTAGAGGGACCATTATGAGGGGCATTGATGCCTTGTATGAGGAGAGGCCTATATAAGGAGCCATCTCCCTCACTTGTAACTCATCCATCATTTTTGTGAGCAATACAACTATAGAGTTTCTCCCATCTTCTTGTGTCTTGTTCTTGTGAGTTGAGTGAGTTTGAGAGCTTGTGAGAAGGCTGCCTAGCTTCTCTAACGGAATTGAGAGTTAGGGCCGCACGACCAAGAGTAAGGCCGTGACAGTTGGTATCAGAGCCTGGTTCTCAAAGAAGAACCGGTGTCCTCACTCCCCAAGAAGGAAGATAAGAAAGAGCGAGAACCTCACCAAAGATGGCTGGATCAGAAGTCCATGACGATGCGGAGAAGCCACGTGGAAGAGATCCCACTCCGGGCGGAAGGTCAAAAGGTACGTCGAGCACTCGTGATCCTCTCAAGTCTCTAGAGAGGCGAGTCTCGAGGATGGAGGTGAAGCTTTCCGAAGATGTCACCGTCATGGAGGATTTGGGAGCTAACTTCACCCAAATCCAAGGCGATGTTCAAAGTGTGGAGGCTAGAGTGACGGGTTTGGAGGTTGGCAATGAAGGGCTTCGAGATGAGCTCATGGCCCTCATCAGAAACACCATCTCCACCGCCATGAACGATGCCATTGAGCTAATGAAGGAGGCGGCGGCTGCGGAGGTGACCGTCTTGAAGGAGGAGGTTGCGGAGCTCAAAAGCGAGGTGACGCTTGTGAAGAGGGCCATGGCTAACGGACCTGCCATCGCACAACCTGCCTCAACCATGGAGATTCCAAGACCAAAGAGCTTTCAAGGGTCGAGGAATGCAAGGGAGTTAGAGAACTTCCTATGGAGCTTGGAGCAATACTTTGAAGCTTCGGGTATTCGAGATGAGAATACCAAGGTAAAAACTGCACCTCTTTACTTGAGTGATGTTGCTATGCTGTGGTGGAGAAGGACCCAAGGCGATATCAATAAAGGGACGTGCGTGATGGAGTCATGGGATGACTTCAAGAGGGAGATCAAGAGGCAATTCTACCCAGAGAATGTTGAGTTTGAAGCCCGGTCGATACTAAGGAGGCTTGCTCACGAAGGAGAGATTCGAGGGTATGTGAAGGAGTTTTCTGAATTGTTGCTCGAGATCCCCGACTACACCGACAAGGAGGCCATGTTCACCTTCCTTGACGGCCTCCAACCATGGGCGAAGTTGGAGCTACAACGGCGAGGCGTGCAAAGTCTTGCCGAGGCAATGGCGATTGCCGAGTCCTTAGTCGAGTACCACGAGCCGGAGGAACGTGTGGAGTTCGGAGGCAATGGAGGTGGACGTGACTATGACAGAGACACACGAAGGCGTGGTAGACTGGACCAAGGAGGTAGTCATAAGGTTGAGAAACCACTTACTTGCTTCCTTTGTGATGGTCCGCATCGTGTGAGAGATTTCCCAAGAAAGCACAAGTTGTCGGCAATGAAGGCCGTACTAGCAGAGTGCTCGAGCTCGGAAGAGGAAGAGGAGGCGACTCCAAGAGTGGAGCCCCATGTCGCGAAGATTGGTTGCATGAAGAGATTGAGCGCCATCAAGCGGACGGAAGAGCCTCCCCATCCTGAGCAACACGGTCAATGCTTCGTAGAGGCAAAGCTCAACCAAAGGAAGACAAAAGCCTTGGTTGATACCGGGGCAAGCTGCAACCTTCTCGACGTAGATGAAGCACGGAGGCTGGGCATCACGTATGAGAAGAAGCGAAGAGGGTGGATGAAGGCTACCAACTCAAGGGCCACAAGAACTCATGGAGTAGCGCGCCAGGTGCCACTCAAGCTAGGAGGATGGACCGGGGTGGCGGACTTTGAGGTTGTGTCGTTGGATGATTATCGGGTCATCGTCGGCATGGAGTTCATGGTGCGGGAGAAAGCTTTCCCGATCCCATACGCCAATAGATTCTGCATCAATGGCGGAGCAAGATCGGTTCCCATGACAAGAGAGCAACTCGAGTCAAACAAGAGGTGTTTGGCAAGGCAAGAGCAGCGAGAAGTGGCAACAATGGTGGAGGTAGCGGCTCATTCGAAGACTCGTTGGAGAAGGACGAGGAGGAGTGCACAACATCGTGGAGCCATGAAAGACGAGGATGGATCATCTTCGACTTGCCAAGAGAAGCAAGAAAAGGCCACCATGATCGAGAAGGCGGGACACTCGAAGACGCGACGGAGAAGACCGCGGAGGAGTGCGCAACATCATGGGAGCACAAGGCTCGAGAGCGAGCCAGGGCCATCCTTGGTTTGGAGGAAGGTGCAACGAGACCTTGCAAGCAATGAAGCTAAGGCAAGGGAGGCATCTGCCAAAGAGCCACGACGAGGGCGTCGTGGATTTAGTGGAGGAGAATGTCACCAACGAGGCTCAAGAGTCGAGAGAGGCTGCTCGAGGTCGATGGAGGCATTTCGTAGCAAGGACGCGACGAGGGCGCCGCGAGCATAGGTGGGGGAGGATGTCACATGTGGCCGATGACATGGCGCCAACAAGGTGACAACAAGGCGGCTGCACATGTGGCATGTATGGAAGACTAGTAGCATAGAGATGCTCCTAGGATTCTCCACCTAAATGAGAGCTTAATGGTGCACTTATGGGCTACATTATGGGTAGCATTATTAGGGTGCATTATGGGGGGACTTTATGGGGTGTATTGATGTAGAGGGACCATCATGAGGGGCATTGATGCCTTGTATGTGGAGAGGCCTATATAAGGAGTCATCTCCCTCACTTGTAACTCATCCATCATTTTTGTGAGCAATACAACTATAGAGTTTCTCCCATCTTCTTGTGTCTTGTTCTTGTGAGTTGAGTGAGTTTGAGAGCTTGTGAGAAGGCTGCCTAGCTTCTCTAACAGAATTGAGAGTTAGGGCCGCACGACCAAGAGTAAGGCCGTGACAGTATCCACCCGACCCAACCCGGTCAACGCGGGTAAAATCCGTGTTGACGGGCTTTGGGCCGGGTTTGGGTTTAAACCCGTTCACTATGTTAACTCAATGTATTGCAATCTGACGATCTTATTAATTGATGAATAACGAGAATATAAACCCCTGTGCTTCAGCCTCAACATGACCTTGCACGACCCTCCACTCTCTGACTTATGGTTCCTACAAATCAGCAACCATCACTCAACTAACAACTACAAACTCTCTAACAAGACTAACCACTAACAGGACTCAAATGAACTAACTACACAGATGAGGACTAAAACAGACAAAAGACATTCGACTGACTCACTAACTGAAACGACAGCGTTTCACTTATTTGACTCTGATGTTTGAACTTGGCGCCATACAGAATCCTTCTCCTGAAAGGATTCGGATTCCTTCAAGCCTGCTGCTGTTCTTCAACCTTCAACATAATCCTCCCCTGAACTGAAGCCGGTTTGAAACCAAGCTTCAGTTCACTCCTTCACCTGTGAACTCTGCCAGATCACACAATCCCAATTTACTTCTCAGAAGCTGAAAACTCTCTAGCTTCAGTGGCTTAGTCATGATATCAGCCACCTGTTCATATGTGCTGCAATGCTCCAGCTCTATGACTCCTTCCTTAGCCAGATCCCTGATGAAGTGATATCTAACATCAATATGCTTGCTTCTTCCATGCAGCACTGGGTTCTTGGACAACTTAATTGCTGAGCTGTTGTCACAGAGAATGGTTGTGCAGCCTTCTGAACTCGAGTTCCAACCCAGACTTTCCAGAATCCTCTTCAGCCACACACAGTGAGCCACACAATATGCTGCGGCAATGAACTCAGCTTCTGTAGTAGAGAGTGTGACTACTGGTTGCTTCTTAGAGGCCCAGGAGATTGCTCCACCTGCAAGAAAGAACACATAACCACTGGTGCTTCTTCTATCATCCACATCTCCAGCATAATCACTATCAGTGTATCCTAGCAATCTGCTTTCTCCTCCCAATCTTTTGTACCAAATTCCAGACTTTGTAGTCCCTTTTAGGTAGCGCAACACTCTCTTAGCAGCCAACTGATGCTGTCTAGTAGGAGATTCCATGAATCTACTTAGAAGACAGACAGAGTACATCACTTCAGGCCTGGTTGCAGTGACATAAAGCAGACTTCCAATGAGTTGTTTATACTCTGTGGGATTTACTGAAACTCCATCCCCAGCTTTAGCCAACTTAACTCCAGGTGCAATTGGATTGCTAACAAAGTTGCAATCAGCCAGTTTGAACCTTTCCAGAACTTCCTTGATGTACTTCTGTTGGCAAATGAAGATGCCTTTGTCTGATTGCACCACTTCAATTCCCAGGAAGTATCTCATTCTTCCTAAATCTGTCATCTCAAATTCAGACTCCATGGTCCTCTTAAATTCAGCAATCATCTCTTCACAGTTGCTTGTATATAGCACATCATCCACATAGATTGACACAATGAGAATACCTGATTCCTCCTTCTTGATGAACAGTGTATGCTCATGAGGACACCTTTCAAAACCAGCCTTCTGCAGATACCCTTCAATCCTGCTGTACCATGCTCTGGGAGCCTGCTTCAGGCCATACAGTGCCTTTTTGAGTTTATAGACCTTATGCTCCTCCCCAGCAACTTCAAAGCCTTGAGGTTGCTCCAGATACACATCTTCTGTAAGTTCTCCATGAAGGAAAGCTGATTTAACATCCAATTGATACACTGTCATACCATGATAAGCAGCCAAGGACAATATGGTTCTGATTGTGTCCCACCTGGCTACAGGAGCAAACACCTCTGTATAGTCAATACCAGCCTTTTGAGCAAATCCCTTGGCTACTAATCTAGCCTTTCTCTTGTCCAGAGAAGCATCTTCCTTCAATTTTGTTTTATAGACCCATTTGCATCCAATGGCCACTGCTCCTTCTGGTAAGTCAACCAGCTCCCAGGTTTGATTCCTTTCAATTGAATCAAACTCCAGATCCATTGCCTTCCTCCACCTTGGATCTTTATAAGCTTCTTCAAAAGTCTGAGGATCATCAGTGATAGCCAGCATCAATCTCCAGTCAGTATCTGCAAATCCACAGTCATAGATGGATAAATGAGAAGGTGGATGCCTGGACCTGGGAGGCAATCCCAACACATCAGTACCAGGTCCAGAACCCTCTTCATCAGGTTCATGCTCAGATTCTTCAACTGCTGGTGTTTTTGGACTCTCAGGTTCTTCACTGACATCAACTTCAGTGTCTGCAATGACCTCTTCCTCAGTGTCTGAGGAATCCCACAACTCATCACTTCCATCCCAAGCCAGCTTAGAACTTTCTCCCTCTGCTGAGCCTTCCATCCAACCCTTGGCTTCATCAAACACCACATCCCTGCTCACTACAATCTTCTTTGTAGCAGGATCAAAAAGTCTATATGCTTTAGACTCAGTTGATACTCCAAGAAAATAACACTGTGAACTCTTGCTGTCCAACTTCTTTCTTCTTTGATCAGGAGTATGAACATAGGCTACACAGCCAAAGACCTTGAAATGTTGAACTGATGGAGGATTTCCAGTCCAAAGCTCCTGAGCAGTCTTTCCTTGATTAGCACTTGTAGGGCTCCTGTTGAGCACATGTGTAGCCCAGGTAACTGCTTCAGCCCAGAAAACAGCAGGTACATGAGTATCCTGAAGCATACATCTCACCATATTCATCACTGTTCGATTTTTCCTCTCAGCTACTCCATTCTGCTGTGGAGTGAGAGCAGCTGTCAATTGCCTCCTTATGCCAGCTTCATCACACATGTCTTTGAACTCAGTCAGCATGAACTCCCCTCCCCTATCAGTTCTAAGACATGTGATATATACTCCATTTTCCTTTTCAACCTGAACTTTAAACTTCTTAAACCAGTTTAAAGCTTCTGACTTAGCAGCTAGGAAGTACACCCATAATTTCCTGCTATAGTCATCAGTTAGGGTGAAAATATACCTCTTGCCACTGTTTGAGGCTGGTGTTATTGGACCACACAAGTCTGCATGGATCAACTGCAGCTTTTGAGATGCCCTCCACTGACTCTTCTTTGGAAAGGAGTTTCTGTGTTGTTTCCCAGTCAGACAGGTACTGCACACTCCTGTACTGCCTTGAAGCTGTGGCAACCCTTGCACCAGTTCTTTCTTCTGCAACTGCTGAAGACTCTGAGGACTGATATGCCCAAACCTCCTGTGCCACAGGTTCAGTTGTGACTCTGAGTCACTCCCAGTTTGAAGACATTGCACATTAGAAGTTTGTTTTTCCTTCCTGACTGTGGTGTGAAGCACAAACATTCTGTTTGTTTTCATTTCTGTTTGTAGCAGGAGGCCCTTGTCTTTATGGAAAATCTTGCAGAAACCCTCTTGAATCAAGAAGGATAAGCCCTTCTCTTGCCACTGGCCAACACTCAATAGATTAGTTTTGAGCCCTGGCACATAGAACACCTCCTGAACCACTACTGACAGCTCATTAACCATCAGCCTCACACTCCCTTTCCCAGCTACATTCAGTCTTGTATCATTGCCAAGTATGACATTACAAGTAAAGCCAGTATCCAACTCTGTGAACCATTTCTTTTCTCCAGTCATATGGTTTGAGCAGCCTGAGTCAAGGAACCACCAATCAGAATCTGCCTCTTTCTGTGAGTCCTCCTCCACAAAAGCCATCAGCAACATGTCATCTTTCATATCTCCATAGGCCTTGGTGTCTTGAGTGAAGCTGGTACTAGAGTAATGAACCTGTTGATTTGAGTACCATTCTGGACACTCATTCCTGTAGTGTCCCAACTTGTGACACTTATAGCACTCCACAGAATCTCTATTCCAGCCTCTTCCACCACTCCTTCCTCTTCCTCTTCCTGGAAAGAAGCCTCTTCCTCCCTGACTTCTTCCTCCCCTACTGCCTAACTCATGAGTGGTTCTGAGCACCTGATCCTCATCAGCAGACCCTCTTTTCCTGAATTTTTGCTCATGAACAACCAAAGAACTTTGAAGAGCATCAACAGATAACTCCTCAATATCCTTAGACTCTTCAATGGAGCAAACCACATAATTGAACTTGTCTGTGAGGGTTCTGAGTACTTTCTCTACAATTTTCACATCAGGCATCTCATCCCCACAGTTTCTCATGGCATTTGCTATAGTCATGATTCTGCTAAAGTATCCATTCACAGATTCACCTTCTTTCATCTCTATGATTTCAAAATCTCTTCTTAAAGCCTGCAGATTTGATTTCTGAACCCTAGCATTGCCCTGATACTTCAGCTTCATTGAATCCCATAGATCTTTAGCAGTACCTTTATTGGAAATAGTCCTGAGTATGGACTTGTCAATGGAGTTGAAGAGATAATTCTTTGCCTTCAAGTCCTTGAGCAGCTGATCATCCCTTGCCTTGATCTCAACCTCAGACACTTCTTCTCCCTCCTTCTGTTCCTTCAAACCATCACGAACCACAGGCCAGTATTCCTTCGACCGCAACAGATTCTCCATAAGGAGACTCCAGTGATCATAGTCTCCATCAAAGCGAGGAAGACCTACTTGAGCAAAGCTCCCTGAATCACTCATCTTACCAGATTCACAACTACTTGACAGTAGTTTGCACTCACCCTGATGTAACACACCTCACAAGATCACTCGTGTTTCCCAACCCTGTCTGCACTTTTTCAAACAGACTCCTATCTCTATCACTCGTTGCTTGAAAGCTTCTATCACTCTTTTGCTTGAAAGCCTTTTCTGGTTACAGCTTGCTTGAGCTCTGATACCACAATGTTAACTCAATGTATTGCAATCTGACGATCTTATTAATTGATGAATAACGAGAATATAAACCCCTGTGCTTCAGCCTCAACATGACCTTGCACGACCCTCCACTCTCTGACTTATGGTTCCTACAAATCAGCAACCATCACTCAACTAACAACTACAAACTCTCTAACAAGACTAACCACTAACAGGACTCAAATGAACTAACTACACAGATGAGGACTAAAACAGACAAAAGACATTCGACTGACTCACTAACTGAAACGACAGCGTTTCACTTATTTGACTCTGATGTTTGAACTTGGCGCCATACAGAATCCTTCTCCTGAAAGGATTCGGATTCCTTCAAGCCTGCTGCTGTTCTTCAACCTTCAACACACTATTCAACGGGTTGGGTTGGGTTTGGGTTTAGGTAAACCCGGCCCGTGGGTACCCGCCCACCCATATAATTAATTTTTTCGGTATATTTAATATTCTAAACAACTAATCTTATTTATGTTTGTGGAGACATGTCTAATTTTTTCTTTTTAATTGTGTAGAATCAAGTTGATTTTATGGAGTGGAGAGTAAAGAAACTTAATTGAAAGGAAGAAGCTTTCAATTAAACATGTTATTTATAGAAAATTTGTGATTTGCTTCAATTTTTTTGAGTTTTCTAGATTGGTGTTGAACAATTTGTATAGTTAATTTGTGATTTGCTTGAATTTTATAGAATAGTGTTTTATATATGGATAATTTATTAATTTGTATTGAGAGATTGATATTTGACTTTAATTTTGATAAGAACTTGTAATTGTAAATTTTTTACGACAAAACCCGTGGGTACCCATGAACCCGCGGATACCCAACGGGTTGGGTTGGGTTTGAGTTTTTCAAACCCAGTGGGTTTTACCCCGGGTTTTTTTCAAAGATAAACCCATAGGTTTGGGTTTGGGTTTGACAAAACCCGACCCAACCCAACCCATTGCCATCCCTAATTTTGAAGTCTGATTTAGGTTGGATGAGATCCAACCGAGGGGTTTGACAACCTTGGATGCAAATGTTTGTTTGCCTAGAAGGAGCTCCGAGCCGAAGAACTGGTGGAGAAGATGAATAAAGCCTTACATGGGGTGCCCTGTGTTTGCAGGAGACTGGGAAGATTCCACGTATTGGTAATAGTCATTAGATAGCTTGTTATCCTGATCTGTACGTAGTGTCAAACTATTGTAGTGTTTTGTGTTTAGATGTTTGGCCGTGTATTGATCGTAAAATAAATGTATCATATTAGGCGAATCCCACATCCATAAAGCACATGAGAGATTCATAAGAAACACATCTTAACTGACAAGAAGCGTTTAATCCCAAAACATCTATTTTACAACCACAGAAGGGTAATTTTGCATCAAGATGTAAAAACCTGACAATTCTCATGAATGCAGGCGATCCAAACAATTACAACCATTAAATGAATAGGTGACTTAATGCTACAAGGATTATTAAGAACTTGAAGCACTCACAGAAGTTATTTGGACAGCAGTCTACACTGCACATGATAGTATGATAACCGCAGAATGGAGACATCGATAAGAACCATGGTAGCTAGAATGGAGGGAGGCTATTCCAAACCTGTATCAGTTTTATTTTGCAGCGCCAACTTAAAACCAAACATAAACATGGAAGATACTCAACTGGAGGATTCCTGGTCTAGTAATCCACCATAAATGAAATCAAAGAAACTCAGTTTGCCCAACAATTCATTGGTTAAACAGGAAAAAGGGGCAGAGAAAAGTGAAATCATAAACAAGAGGAACTCCAATCTCCACTTAAATAGGTGCAATCGATGACTCAATGATGCTCTTTCACCTCAAAAAGCCCATCCGGTCCTGCATGTCATGAAAACGTGCGTAAGAGAAAACAAGGGTGCTCTCACCAAACGGAAAAAGAGGAGAAAACAATGCGGGTGTAAGGACACATGTACATTTCTGAACATTCAAACCACAATCGAAAAATGGAAGTACATTGATAGTTAGACAGAACGAAAAGGAAGAACAAGCATAGTACAATTAGAAAACATTCATGTTTGTAACTGGTTCAAGGCAATCCAAGCACATGAAAAAGTAACTAAAATGAACTTGTACTGACAATTATTATTATTATCATCATCAGCACTAATCTAATGAGTTTTGGCAATCTATTCGTACTATGAGATATATAGCTCACTCTATCCGATGGATCAGAATCATGTATACCTCCAGAATGAACATATCTTGAAAACAAAATTTGATTGCTCATTGAAGTTCTCTGGAAAACCAGCCTACTGAGGGAAAGCTGTGTTTGTAGAGTCTTTCCAAAAGCAAAACCACAGACATAACAACTTGATAATAGCATCAAGTGATTTTAGCCAAGCCATTTAAAATATTTCTGCAGGATCGTAAACTATGCACGGCATCATAGACCACATGCAATGTGTATACAAGAGTGTGTCTTCTAGTAGAACAACTAGGTATTTCAGAGGGAACATTGTTAGAGAAACATACCCCATGGGAACTCCTTGTTGCGGATATGCAAGTAGGGGTATGCCTGCAGCAATATACTTGAGATGAGAATACAACAACTTGCATGGTATTGGCAATTGAAAAGCACCGCAATCAATAGCCACAAGCTCATGGTAGATTACTCGCTCTTGTGACAACAATTTTTGCATAAAGAACGTCAACACAACACGAGACAGATAAGCAAAATGCTCTTTTCTATAATGGCGATGAAAGATGAGCAAAATGCTTACCGGAGGCTCGTCAAAGTGATGATGGCCCTTTGACAAACAGTAAAAGGCTAAGGCAGAGCAAGACGCAGCTCCAAGGTAAGTTATCTTCTCCCATTTTGATGCTTCTTTGGCCTCAACTGATACAATAATCAATTTTACGAACCAAAGGAAGATTAGGAAACAGTACCAACAATGAATAACTTCCCAGCAAAAGACGCAATAAAGTTGTGGGTACAAACATCCAATCCAACCCATTTCCATTAACCGAAAAAAACACATTTTATGACCAATCAACGATTTCTATGAGAATATCGAAACCCTAAAACAACTCATATTAGACTAATCGACTCTGAAATTACGATCGGTTGATGAAAGGTCCGGATTGATCCAAAAAGGATCGGAATCTGGCCTTTCAGAAAGACAACTGATGGAAAGGAAAGGTTTTCTAAATAACATATGAAAATTGAAAAGACACAGATTCGGTAATTCGACGAGAGCAAACAGAGCGAGGGATTTATATTTACATTCAACATCGTGATGAGCGGAAGAAGAGAATTGGCGTTTGGCTGGAGCGGAGGTCTTTGAGCCGCCGCGAAGAACGCTTCGAAGAAGACCAGATCGCAGGATCGCCGACGTCATTGTTTTTTTCTCTTTCAGCTTTCGACCCGCCGGTGAAGTGTTTGATAGAGAAAATGAGATGAGCGCAAGCGAGTAACAATGTAAGGATCCTCCCAAGTCCCAATTTAGTTCTATGACCCTGGGCCGGGATGTCCAAAACAAATGCTACCTAGTTTGGGCTTACAAAAGGAATGTGCGGCTCAATGATGGGCTTGGACCACCCCTTTTTTTCCGACCTAGATAACTCACAAACTGAGAACAGAGTACTAGGTTAGCGATAGCTGATACTCGGTTAGACTACTAGCGGTTACACGATAAACTAATCAATGATCGATGGTTAATGGCTATATTGTTAACCAATTATAAGTTAGCGATTCGATTAATTATAGGCTGAAATCAATCTCGGTGCAACTGATAACTGAATAATCGATTCACGGTTAACCAACAATTAACCAAATAGAAATATCTATGTTTCTCTACCCAAAAACGGTCATGTACCTCTCAAAAAGCTCTTGAACTTCGAACAAACAATCTCCTCCCCACCTTGATTCTCTTCTTATTTCTCAATTTCCTACTAACGTGAACCCGAAAACTGAAAGAGATAGAGATCCGTCGATTTTATGACATAATTGTAGGTGACTCGCCAATACCGACACACTAAGAAACAACTAAGTATAATCATAACTCAGGAATGCATTATTGTGGGTTCATTTTTAATTGTTAACCCGTGTCCTAGATATACTGATGATTCGGGATAGATTACACACGTTTATACCCTTTGACTTCAGTCGTTTGACTTGGTTATCATCGTTCCTTGACCTATTTTACGCTAGATTGTGATTCTTTTTATCACATTTCAGATCCTTTTACGTGTGGGAAGGTTGGGAGAGCTTCCTTCCTTCTTGGTTCCTCCTTCTCTTCTTCTCCTTCCTTCAATTTCTCTCTCTAACCTCACTCTAGAATAAAAACTCTACCAAAATCCAATCTACTCAAGGGGAAGAGAGCCCCCTATTTATAAATTTTTGCAAACACGGTTAAGTTCATAGGCACGGAGAAGAAGATCACTGCCATGATCTTTGGAGGAGAGACTGCGATTTTGAGGGTTATAGAATTATGAGGACGCGGGCAAGGGGAATATGATCGTGGCCATGATCTTTGGGGGAGAGGTCACGATCTTGGCTTCAACGACTTTGGTCTTGTATGGTTTTGGATATGGCATCCTGACTTCACGGTCGTAATCCGTGAGTCACAGTCGTAATCAGTGAGTCACGACCGCGATATTTCTCGCTGTCTTGGATGAAGAGTCATGAGTCGATTATCAAGACTTTCTATTCCTTCCTTGATGGCTGCATCTCCAAATTCGCGGTCGTGATCCTTAGCTTCAAGGTTGTGATCTTTGTGCTCTAGTTCACGCCATCACTTCATGGCTGTGATCTTGGTTCCTTCGACTATTATCTCCATTTTTGCCCCCTTTTTCTACACTAGTGCACACTTTTGGTACCTAAATCATTCATATAATCTAATACACCCTAAAATACCGATATTTTCTTAGAGGAACGAATCAAGGGCATATTTGACGACATATTAGCAATGAAGAACATATAACGACTCGAAATAAGCCTAAATATGAGTTCCAAATAGCACTAATTTGAATGTTATCACTTCTTCACACGGTGACGATGTCCAACAATAGAGTATGAGGAAGGCTGGGCGGCAAGAATGAAGAACATGTGCAGCGAAGCGCGCGAACACACAAATGAAGGAATAACCAAACGAAGGACAACGCAAATAGAGGGCAAGGAAGGAGGAAATTTACCTTTAGGGTTCGTCACATGTCTGGAGTGACTTGGGGTTAGGCAAAATGGAAGTTGCTTCTAACGGGCAATGAGGAATCGAGGCCGAGTGGAGAGATGAGGCGGTTGGGCGACGAGAGGAGCGACAGGGGTGTGAGATTTTGATGAGAATGGAGACATGAGGATGGCGGGGTGGCGAGAGGGACGACACAATGGAGGAGGAAGAAATGAATCAAAGATCACCGTTCTTCCTTTGTCAATGGAGATGGATGGATTTAGGTGGCAGAGGCAAACAGGTGGATTTGGATGAGAGCTACGATTTTGAAAGGATATTGGAGAGAGAGGTCTCAATGTGGTAAAGGACTAACGAGTGGAGGAGTGGTAGTTGTTGGGTGGTGGCGCGAGTCTCGGTTAGTAACGATGAATCAATAATTTATTGTTTAGAATCGAAAACCGATAGGTAAGCCGACATGTCAGATCCCCCACCGACACCACCCCCGACAAAGGTAACTATTACCGACTGTGGTTAGTCGATGAACCAATTTTTCGGTTTGGTTTATAGGTTGACCGACTAACCGCTGGCCGATTAACTACCTACTTATAAGTGTCAAAGCATAACCAGACCCGATTAATCTTTTCGAACGACCCATAACCTGACTGCAACCCGAGTTGACTAAAAGTCAATGAACTGTAATTCATAATCCGATTGACCTGTAACCCGATTGAACCCGCAACATGACTAATTGCAACCTGAACCCGACTAACCCTTAATTTAATTTTGGTGTTTTCAATTTTTAGAAAGAAGAAGAAAAAAGAGAATTATGTTGCTTTCAATTTTTTAGGAGAAAGAAGAAGAAAATTTTGATGTGTTGGGTTTTTGAGAAGAGATACAAGGAAAAATTTAAATGCTTTTTAATTTATGAAGGAGAAAAATTAGAGTTTTTGTGTTTTCAACTTTTTGAAAAGAAGAAAAATTTTGGTGCTTGCAAATTTTGTGTTCTAAAATTTTTTGTGCTTTCAAATATGAAACTTGAATTGTGTTCCAAAATTTTTCTCTAACTTTTAGTTTTCCCTTCTTTCTTTGTCATTAATTTGTTCCATTTATTAGTATCAAAAGATGTTTTTCTTTCTTTAGTATCTTCTACTAATAACGAAAAATCCAAAACCCAATTGATTTGCAACTTGTCAGTCCACAAGTTAATTAACCTATAACTCGACTACTTCCAACCCGATAAACTAGTAACCCACTTGACCCGCACCTGATGAACCCGAACCCCACTAGCCTATAATCCGATTGAACTCTAACCCGAATGACCTATTACGAAATTGAACTGCAAACGAAATGACCTGTAACCAGATTGAAACCACAACCTGAATGACCCGTAACCCAATAAATTCGAACTAAATGACCCATAACCCGATAAAATCCACAACCTGACTAGCACGTAACTCGATTAACATTAATCTGAATGACTCGTAACCCGATTGAACTTGTAATCCCGCTAGCTTGTAACCTGAAGCGCCCGACCCGAATCCACCGATTGACATCTATACACAAACTACAGAAGACTATATATAGTTATAGTTATCTATACTAATCCGTAACTTTGTAATTGGGAAAAGGTAAAGGTCTTTGGAATTACAGATGGTCTATTAATTGCATGGTATAGAACTAGATTGATAGGTGAGTCTAAGTGTTTGGTGCATGTTATCTATTTTCAGAATCTTCTCCTTGTTCATCTCTGTGGAGTTTCTCTATGCTCTACATGACTGAATTCTGTTTTAAATAAAGAGAGCTTCCTCAGTTTACTAGAAGCTGTTTGCTATTTGCACTCTGCTTCCTGGGTTTGCGTTATGAAGAAGAGAGCTTGAAGTTCGTTTCTTTGGTACGATTCGTTCGAAACATCTGCTGGAAGATAAGAGTTAAGTGGGCTTCTTAACAGTCTATGCTTTATTCCCAAAATCCCTAAATTTTTGCTTCAATCAGAACTTTAGAAAATATATTACTCATTGGAAAGAGCTTACAATTTAGAAGCCACCAAGTGGGCTATTTGTAGCGTCAACGTCATGGTAGACAGAGATGTAAGTAGAGCTTTTGAAGATGGGCCTATCAGAAATAGCACTAGAATACAATAGGTGATTGGGCGCAGGCAGTACGTAGTAGGGACCTTGTGACTGCTTGCTATTAGCTGGATTTGAAAGCTCTGACTGAAAGATGTTAGTGTGTTGTGGCATATGATTCACGATTGAACCTCTCCCAACAACTCGAGTTATTGGGACCAATTGGTTATTGACATGGTATCAGAGCCTTCTGTGATCGAGAGGTCTTGTTTTTGATTCTCGGTGACCCCCATTTGTTAAGCACATGGTATTCTTGCTTCAGACATGTGCAAACTTCAAGCCCTTTTGAGTGGCTTTCGTCTGAAGGGGGCGTGTTAGTGTTGCGGTATATAATTCACGATTAAACCTCTCCTAACAACTCGAATTATTGGGACTAACTTGTTCTTTACAAAAGAAATCCCTCCCTCTCCATCAATTCCATTTCTTTCCCTCCAAAAGAAAAAAAAAACAAAAGAAACTGTTACTTTCTCAGCAACTATTTGGGTGCTTCCCCACCCTTCGGCCGGACGTATATATAAATACCAGCCTAGAGGTGGCAATTTCAATCCAATCCACCAATCCAATCCATCAATCCATTAAAAATATCCACCTAATCCAATCCATTTAAATCCAATCCATTTGATCCAAATCCAATTGGATTGGTGGATTAATGGATTGGATCCATGGATCATTGGCAAATTACGGTTTAGTACCTATAATTTTTATTTTTTACATTTTGGTACCTACAATTTAATTTTTTATACGAAAAATATCATTGGAAAATTACGTTTTGGTACCTAAAATTTTTCATTGTGACATTTTAGTACCTAAACATTTTACATATTGGTCCTTGGTTGAGGATGTCATTTGGATTCATGGATAATCCACCAATCCACTTGATCCAATCCATGAATCCACCAATCCATTAGATCCAATCCATATGATCCATGGATCCACCAATCCAATCCACCAATCCACCAATCCAATCCATTTGCCACCTCTATACCAGCCCCTTCGCAGACCCAAAATCAAGCAGCAGTCAAATACTCGGTTTATTCTCCTCTCTCCCACAATCAATCTCTTAAGAAATGAGTAGTGGAAGGGATTCCATTTCCATGTCGGCAGGCTTGGCAATCTGCGTAGTTGCCCTGGCGCTTGCTTCGGCAGCCCAATTAGCGTCGTCTCGGCCCACAACTTTCGCTCAGGACTTCCAAGTCGCATGGGCCGACACCCACGTCCGCCAGATCGACGGCGGCCGCGCCGTCCAGCTCCTTCTCGACCAGAACTCGGGATGCGGGTTTGCTTCCAAGCGCAAGTACCTGTTCGGACAGGTCAGCATGCGGATCAAGCTCGTGCCCGGAGACTCCGCCGGAACCGTCGCCGCCTTTTATGTATAAATTCATGTTTATTTATTCACACTTTACTGTAATTAATTACATATGATTAGTGATTACAATTACCTCACCTGCTTTTTTGGGTTGTTGTGCTTTTAATTAAAGCTGAACTCGGACACGGCCGGCGTGAGGGACGAGTTGGACTTCGAGTTCCTGGGTAACCGGTCCGGCCAGCCGTACACGGTCCAAACCAACATCTTCGCTCACGGCAAGGGGGACCGAGAGCAACGTGTCAACCTCTGGTTCGACCCGTCAGCCGACTTCCACCTCTACCGAATCCGCTGGAGCCATTCCCAGATTGTGTAAGGAATTGCTTAATTAATCATTAATCCCCCTCCCCTCCCAATGCTGAGCTGGCAGAAATGACTGACGTACGTGGCAACTTTTTTTATTTTGTTTGTAGGTACTACGTGGACGACGTGCCAGTGAGGGTGTTCAAGAACAACGAGGCGAAGGGAGTGGGGTACCCGAACTCGCAGCCGATGGGCGTGTACTCCACGCTCTGGGAGGCGGACGACTGGGCGACGAGAGGCGGGCTGGAGAAGATAGATTGGACTAAAGCCCCGTTTGTGGCCCATTACAAGGACTTCGACATTGAAGGCTGCCCGGTCCCGGGCCCGGCCCGTTGTGCCTCCAACCCTACCAACTGGTGGGAAGGCGCCAATTACAAGGGCCTCACCGCTCTCGAGGCCAGAAAGTACAGGTGGGTGCGTGTCAACCACATGATTTATGATTACTGCACCGACAAATCCCGATTCCCCGTCCCGCCGCCGGAGTGCACCGCCGGCATCTGAAACGATGAATTGCAGACACTGAGACACACGTCCTCGTAATTAAATGTTGATTAATTAATGTTGGTGTTTTCATGTTAATTGGCACGCCGTGAGATAAATTAAAGGTGGTGGGGCGGAATAAAATTAGTGCTGCACTTCTGTTGTCCGGACGTACGTCCTTCTCAGGCGAGTCGTCGGCCGGGAGCCAGAAAATGTTATCCCGTAGCGTCTACACAGTCGTGTATATTTGTAATTGTTTGTTTACTGTTTATAATTTTATGGAGAAGGTTAAATTATTAATACTATATATATATATACCAGCTTCTTAGACACATTTTGTAACAAAAGCTGAGAACTTGAAATTCGGACCGGGCGAAATTCAGCAGCTTGAAGTTTGCAAAAATTCATCATGACGTATGCTTTCAAAATCAATTGTTAATATCGTGGACGGTGGAGATTCGAACATATAAGTATTTGGTGAGATTAAACTCTAATACTGTTTCATAAATCGTTTTGCAGGATGTCTCATTTAATTTGTCATGATAGATGGTAATAAAGTACATGCAATGCAATGCAGGCGTGGCATGCATATCCGCGTTCGACGTGGTCCGGCAATCTGATTAAGAAATGTCATATATGATGTGATTAAATATTCATTATGACACTAATTGTTCTTTGGTTCTGATATCTCACTTTCTTTAGTTCCTATATCTAGCGTAACTACAAAGGAAGGAAATTAAATAAGTTGTATGGTAATAACAAATACCAGAGTTTGGCATATTAATTAAATTGCTCTGATAGTTGGACCGAAATGAAACGAACAAGAAATGAAACGAACAAGTCATTTGAAAAACTAACTGTGCAATTTTTTGAGGACTACTAATTACTTGGGGATAATTGGAACACCTAAATGGTCGAGGACGGCACTGATTATCCAAAAAATATTTGTTTTTAAATCCTCGAACTATGTTCAAAATTTTAGTAATTAATAATACGCTTAGCAAATGTTAATAGCCAATAACTTTTCATTTTGAGTAAAAATAATAATCAGTGAAATGCAACCCAAAAAAAAAAAAAAGCTAATCATGGACACTAACTTGTAGTTTCATTAACCACATCGTTAATTGTAATGGATGATGACTATATTTTGTAAATTCATAAAAGGTTTGGCTTCCAAATTATCATTCGATAGGTTTCGCTATTTTATTTTGGAAAAAAATGAAAATGATTTCTATTGTATTGTATTAACCATTAATAATATGCATGTTTATTAATTAAAGAAATTGTTTTAAGCGTAAATTGATCTTTGACAATATAGTGCACCATGCATCTAAAGTCGAAGGCATGATTTCTCGACTATAAACCAGTGTCCATGAAACCGTACCGTACCGGCGGTTCAACCACGAAATACCAGTATCGGAGGCTAAACCGATAGGCGGTATTTACCAATATAACGGTTGAACTACGGTTAAATCACGATTTTACCATAAAATACCCTACCACTGACTTTCCCGGTACGGTCTCCGGTACGGTTTTATGGACCATGCTATAAACTTGAATACCATGTCAATTGTCAAACTTAGTATACGTCAATAAATTTGAGCGATAAATTAAATCAAAATAATTTTTTTTTCCATATTGGGATTTTAAATTATTATTACCTTGCAATTTTACATCCTTTCTGTGAATTTTTACCATCGTTTTCCCCCCATAAATACTAGCTTATTTGAAACAAGGTGTACCTAATTTTCATTGGTCCCCAACTGGTGTGTGATAATTAGAAGGATTTAATTAATTAATTTATCGTGTTGTATTTGATTGGTGTACAAGGAAATATAGCATGGTCCTGCTAGCTAAGACATGGATGGTCCCTGAAGAAAGGAACCCTGGCTTGCTGGCCCACAAGCAAGACTTTGTAAACTCTGGAGAGCTGAAGAATGGTCAATTTCGGAAGTAGCCTTTCTTCTTTATACGATTCTCCTGCTTTTGTGTTTGTTCGTGGCGATCAAATCTTTTTCTCGTGCGAGAAAACATGTTGTTGCATATACAACAAAAGTCCCGATGAAATGGCTAGCTTCATCCAGGTGCCGGCTTTCAGTGTGACTTTCATGGTTCTTAGTTATGACTTATGACCACTTTCGAAATTTCAAGTTCTATCTCTGGGATTGATATATATTTCATTTTGTTTATATAGATAGGTCCAAAATATCATTTACTTGATACAGATTATTGGGTGCATGCATATCATCCAATCCAATTATTTTGTAGCTGAATTACTCCTAATATTAAGAAAATTGTCTAAAATTCATTTTCGAATCTTTCTCAGCAACTTGAATTAAGAAAGAGGACCTGATGTTTTGAATCATCATTGACTTGCAATGCGGACAATTGATTAAACATTATCAAATATACCAGTTATCTTTTGTTTGAAGGGTGCAAAAAATCATATAAAATACATTTAATATTTTTTCTTATAACTCGAGTCGTTGAGACTTGAAATAACTATTTTTTATAAGGCAACGATAAGCGTGATATCCTCAACTCTAATTCCCTTGGACTGCACAATCCTATTGTATCAACCTGAGCTGCTGCTCCTACCACATCATCATTCTAGCAAAGTTCAGAAATTGCATTGTTAATTTTACGGCCATCACTGTATCCGTAAACCTGATTTTGTTTCAACACCAAATGGTGTTAAAAAATAATTAAATAAAAGCAGTCGACAAGACAAAACAAAACAAAAACAATTAAATACGATTTTCTGCCCTTTTCCATTTTTTTGTTGGGAGAGTTGGATACGAATACCATGGCTTTGCTCAATCGGATCCAAAAATTCTCGGTGTCTCAGGATGTGGGAGCTCAAGCAGCTGCATACATTTTTACTCGACTTAGCTTTGCTATAGCTAAAGGAGTAGCGGCTCAGATTGTATTTCGGTTGCCCACTAATTTTTTTTAGAACCTTTGTTTGTTCGTTTAGCCGCTATTATAATAATAATAATAATATTCTGCAAAAAAAAAATTTAAATAAAGAGAGAGACCTGGCTCTCATTTGCTAGGGGACCATTTTGGTCCCAAACGCTTCTACACCAATTAAAATCTCCTGATTCGTTGCGATGGCATTGGCATGTCACCTAACTATGCTGCCGACGAGTTTATGAAACAGAAACAAGTGGACTTGGCTCGTCCCCTTTATTTCTCTGCTACTCGCCGGAACTCAATAATGCACAAATAAGATAAAGGGGAGGGCATGAGGAGAGAGGGAACCAGTGAAAATGAAAGCATCAAAATGATTGTTAGGTCGTAGGTCTAAGGCTAATGAGAACTGTAGAAGCAGTGGCACTGCGTATATACAGAGCAACAACAAGCTGGCGTTGGTTACTGAGATGCTTTCACTCACCATCACAACCTTGCTGGCTGCTTGCTTTTCTTCAACCCATTAATGCCAACCTGCCATTCCCATCATTGATTGTTCTTCCGAGAACAGGAGATTACAGAAGAAACCAAAATTACTTGCTGGCATCAGTCATTTTGATTGCAACTGGGTCGGAGCAGTAGGGGCAGTTGCCAAACAGGACATCGAATGACCTGCACATGAGGATAGCCATGATATAAGCACAACGTTAAGATAAAACGACATATACGAAATTGCGTCGGGGACTGAAAAACTACCCATCAAAGACACTTAAGCATGACCTGGAAAACATAGTAATCACTAATCACCAATTCTTCCACCATTTCACTCTCATTTTCCCATTAGGGAGAGCCAAGATGCTACGAGACTCGAATGCAAACACAGATAGTTAATAGTGGGAGAGGAAAGTTATCTCTCATGCTTTTTCTACCAAAATGTGAAGCAAGCATGGTATCTTTCATATTTGCTTGAATTGGGTAATGCTATAGGGTTGTTGGAAAGAAATGGAAACCACTCATTTCCAACAAAAAAGGTGGCGTAGATGTGGCAAAAAGAAGGCAAAGAGAATTTAGGGATGGACCCCTGGAATGACCCACATTGATAGCTAGGTTGAAGGATACGTGTGGATACGTGTTGGGTAAAGCAGAAAAAAATGTAAAAGATATTGAGTTTTGAGAAAAATTTCCAATTTAAGTAACTGATCAAGATGTTAATCTACATATTTTACTTACTGCCTTGTTGTTGTTATGGAGCGCAACCAGTCACCCAGACAAACACGATGAAAAGCCCTATTGCAGTTTGCATTCTCACACGTGTAGTCAGTTCCAGAACCGCTCATAGATCCAAGCTCATCATCTACAAGAAAATTATGTAGTTAGTGGCAGGATAGAGATGCTTTGCAACTGCAATAGGGAAACATAAGGAGACTTTTCAATAACATTGAAGTACCAATAGGAAGACAATGAGCGTAGCAAATCCCACATTCAGATTGTTGATCATTCTTCCCAATATCTAGCCGGCTTGGCAGTGGGCTTTCCAAAATGGAAGCAAGATTTTCTAGATACCTCTTCTCCTTATCCCTGCAAACTCCAACAGTTACTAGTCTGAAGGATATCTGCCAAGCAACTTAGTCCTTTGAATTACATTTGATGAAATGGAGGGAACTATCTGATTGTGGTTTGCATGTTGTTACTCTGCTGGTAACTTAAAGCAAAGAATTAATGAATGTGACCAAAGAACGAAAGAATAACAATCAGCCACTCTTTGCCATGTGAATTAATGAAAGTGACCAAAGAATGAAAGAATAGCAATCAGCCCTTCTATCAAGAGTAAATCGCAAAAAAAAGAAAAAAAACCCGAAAACAAGACTACCAAAAGAATTAATGAAAGTGACCAAAGAACGAAAGAATAACAATCAGCCATCCTGGGAACTTTTTGGCTTAACCCTAACCAACTTGAGGATTAAAAGAAGCTGTGTACGGAGTCTTGAATCTTTTAATAAGTGAAGCTGAGTACTTATGATTAGTAGAAGGAGAAAAAAGATCTACCATTTTTTGCTATTTCTTCGCCACAACTTTTGCAAATTATCCACCGGAGAACATGAACCCAAAAATCGGCACCTGCTAGTATTCAAAATTTCATATATAATGACCAAATGTAGCATGTAGTAGTCATGTCGAATCTATATGACTGCTTACTCAGGTAAAGATTTTGGATCTCTGGGATTTATGAACAGCATAATGAAACAACCATTTCCTGTATACAAAAGATAGCAAATGAAAACATTGAGAAAGATCAAGATACAAAAAGAGGAGCAAGGCGAATCAATCAAATAAGATTAGATACTGTCTGACCTGCATCAATTTGGCGAAAATGTACATTCCGAGATGACTTTTTTGAATCCACCACATAAAGGGAATTGTCAATATCCTCCAAGGTGGACCAGAATTCATCAAGCCTAGAGAAATGCTGATCATTTGTGAGAATAAAAGAAAGAAGTCCGAGTTAATTCTAAATGACTTTGGACGCCTAAATTGTTATCACTAAATTCAAGAAAGATATTAAAGAAAGTGAAGCATACATCAGTAAACTGTTGCATCAATTCTTTCAGTCTTGAGTTCATTGACCATTTGACATTGAGTGCATAAGGCACATCCTAGAACAGAGCCAAGACACCATGAGCCATGAAACTAGAGATTTCAACTGGTAAAAGACTATCAGACACACCGCTGAAACTGAAGGTGCAGATTTTGGATAGGTCTCATCTAGCTGAATTCCAACTGTGTGGGTTCTTTGATTCCCATCTCTGCCCAAATGCACAACAATTAGCTCATAAACATGGAAAACCATAGGCAATAAACAACAAGGATAAATATTTATAAGCAGCCACAGCTTAAGAAAAAGTATCTCCTAGCTGTATAGTCAGAACTTCTAAAGCAGAGAATCTTCCTATCAGGAGAACTCTAATCACACTCAATGTCAATCTATCAAGGCCTTCCGTATATCTTGTTCAAAGCGTACACCGCTGAGGAGCTTGAGCCTATGAAGAAAAGGAGAAAAATGGCCTTCCAGTTCATAGGTATAGACAGACATTTGTATGAGCCATGTTCTTGACTTTCACGAGATCTCCATACCGATTGTGACTGACCTATGGTGCTATATTCTGCGCTAAAACTCAGGCCCCTAGGGTTCTTACATCTTGCGATTCCTTTGTATTGGCAATCTAGATATCAACTACTTTCACAAACAATATAATTCGAACGTGACAAACATGATCAACAAAATATGCGAAGCGAAATTCACGACATGAGGTCAGAGTTGCGGTTTCTGGTTCCCTGACTACGTACAGGAATAATAACCACAAAATACAGGCTCCAAAGGACACTAATTCACGTCTTACACAATGCGAAAGCTAAGGAACTTTAGATCCCCAGAAAAGTTTGCGAGGTGCTCCCATCCGATCTCTTCTATCTGCGTTCATGACATCAAGAAAGGACATAAGAAACAGATTCCAAGAGATAAACACTTGGTGAAGCTCACTCACTTCCGATGCACAGTGGTAACAATTTGGTATTCAAATACAAGAAAGAAAGCAGACGAACCTCAGAGTAGATTTTGCTGCAAAATGAGGATGATTTCGCCAATTCTCTGAACCTTGTCTGGTCCGCACGCTCCTGAAAGCAAAAACGAATGGGTCCGCTGAGTAAATTCGTCAAGCAGGTAGTGAACTTGAACTTGTTGTGTAAGCACGAAGACGAATCCATTGAACAGAGATTGAGAAGTTCAGTTAACGAAGGAAGAGGATGGGAGTACTGATGCCATTGAGAATCCGTAGCGAAGTACTGATGCCATTGAGAATCCGTAGCGAAGTTCAACGGAATCGTTGGACAAATTGTGCCGCCGGCGGGCACCAAATTTTTGCCACTAAACGGATCGCCGATCCAACTTACACAGTGTAGAAATGGAGCCCGCTGCCCCGCCTCTGTTGTTTTTTCAACCCCGCTACTGTTTCAGTGGTTTCTTCTCCGAAGAAAAGCTTTGAGGCTTAATATTGGGTTTGCTTCACCAGCCCATTGCTTTTTGGGCCGTAGTATCAGTCCATGGTCTCTTTCTTGTTGGCTAGATATTATTAGTCAAATCATTTTTTATTTTTTTATATTATCCAAACCTATTAAAATGTTAATTAATCAAATTTTTTGTAATACAACAAAATATTAGTCATTTTTACGTTATCGTTGAAAATTTTGTATCTTTTTTCTTAGAAAATACTAAAATTTTGGAATATTAACCTTCGTGTGTCTCTTCCAAGTTAGTATCATGTTGCCAAGTCAATATTACTAACAAAATTGTTAACTGGAAGTGAACTTCTGGCTAATTCTTAGTATTTCAATAGATTTGGCTTATTAAAGAGAATTCGAAAAAGGTTTGGCTAATAAATAGTCATTACCCTTTTTTGTCTAAATAAATGCAAGTACCATTTTAGCACTGGAAAGAAAAATGTGATGGTGCGAATGAAAGTTTCGTCATGATCGCACTTGTGTTGTTCTAGTCGCCGCCAATTCTTCGTTGTCCGACTCTCGGGAACCACGATCTTCATTTGATGATTGTTCTTCCTTTGCATCAAGTAGTGTGGATTGTCGGTATCCCATTTTTCCTAGTTGCAACTTAGGTGGTAGGGGATTCATCATCCTCTTTCTTGTGATTTATGGAAGAGTTGTGTTTTCCTATAGTTGTTTATGCTCCATCTATGATTATTATGCTTTGTACTTGTTTCTCCATGTGTTTTCTATGATATGCCTATTTGGGGTTTGATTTAGGTTATGTATGGATCGAGCGGTCTTGGCGTGATAGGCTAGGATGGTTGATCTAGGAGTCTAATATGGTGGACGAGGTGATCATACCCCTACCTATTAGAAGTCCACCTAGGAAAAGCCAGGCCCAGGGCGTCGAGTTCGTGACCATCGACTCGACGACCTATTGTGCGGATGGGTAGAATCCATTTAGAGGAGATAAGTTATATCCCTGCATTGTGAAGCTAGTTGAGGTGACATTGGGCTAGTAGATCGGTGTAGGAGGGGGATTGGTTGCATGACCATTGATCTTATCTCTAGATTAGCAATCTCTACACCTCGATCACCATGGATCATCCTTCTGTCTTTTGCATGTAATCTCCAGCGGTTATAGCGAGGGAGGCACCCCAAGTACCTCTTCTCTCCTTTCTACCTCTAGTTCATTAATGTCAAACTATACACCTGCTAAGTAACATGTAAACTAGTTAACAACCGAGCCTAAGTAGCCTAGGATATCGTGACCGTGGAATACGACAGAGCCACTTGACTACATCTCTAGCATTGTTATACTTGGCATTATTAGGATAGACATGAGTGTGCTTAATAATTGAAATTAAAGATCATCATCCTCACATGTTAAGGAAGGTTTGTACAAAGTTTTGGATCATTCGGATGTCATTTGAAGGATGAAAAGAAGCAGAACTTGTGCTAAATCCATATAAACTCATGGCCCAAAGTCACAGCCGTCAGAATGGAAGTCGCAAACACAAGAATGGAACTCATGATGATGAGTTGAGGGTGTGAGTTGAATTCATCGGTTGAAACCAAAGATCACGGTCGTGTAATTGAGGTCATGATCGTTGACCTGTCTATAAGTACAATAGGTTGCTTTCGAACAAAAGGGGAATCCAAGAGAAAAACATAAGGCTATGAAGATGTATAAAGATATGCATAAATTGGAGGGTTTTGGGAGCCAAATCTTCATCATCCAACCCAAAAATCTTCCAAGATTAAAGAGAAGCGCTCAAATAAAAATGGAGAAGATTATTCTAGCACAAGATTGGTCTTTTCTTCCTCTTTGTACACTCTTTCACTCTCAACTTCTAGCTACTCTAGGTACTAAGGAGATGAACTCTAGCTTGTAGCTTTGTTATGGGTTTTTATGTAAAACATGATTATGAACCTATTATCAATATCTTTTGTTGGTTTGCCATGATCTCCATATGATTAGGGAAGCCTTGATTGACTTGCATAAACCCAAGTTAACCTATTGCTGGAGGGTTTCAATCCTAAGAAACCACCTACCTCTACTGATCCTCCTAGTAATTGGTTTTGTTTCTTTGTTGGGTTAGTTTGGTTCATATTTAAACCCAACTATCTTGTTTAGGGATGGCAATGGGGCGGGTTTGCCTAAACCATCATCATCCCATCTTCAAATACCCAAACTCATACCCGCCCCATACCCATGCGGGGAATGTTTTGCAAACCCATCCCCCATACCCGTGAGTTTCGGGTACCCATGGGTAATACCCATCCCGTACATCCAACATTATTATACCTAAAACTTACAAGAAAAGTTTTAATTATAACCATAAACAAACCTATTATATCATGAAGTCAACAAAACACAGTCATTTTCTAAATACGATTCAAAGAATATGATCCTAAAACATCCATTAATACATAATATAGACTACAATATTTTTTAAATTATTATCCTCTAACTCTTGATACATTTACTAAGTAATAATTAACTAACATAATCTTGTTGACAAGGGGGAAAGTGAAAGAGTGGAGGGAGAATTCAGGGAAATGAATTAGGTTTTAATTAAGATGGTACTCAATTGCATTTTTACTATTTATTTTCTCGAGTTATCATCATCATTGATAGATTACAATTTAATCCACATATTTTTTGATATGTGAAGAAATTCTCTTGGTGGGGCGGATATGAGTATGGGGCGGGGGAGGCTAAAACCATACCCGCCCCATACCCATCAAACTTTTTGCGGGTTTTACCCATACCCGCCCCATACTCGGTCAATGCGGGGATTCCCCGCGTTGACTGGGTCGGGGGGCGGTCGGGTACCCGCGGCCATGGGTTTGATTGACATCCCTAATCTTGTTTGACCACATAGTAGCTAGATTGAGACCAAGAGTAGAAGTAGACATAAAGGCCCCGTGGAATACGACATTGATCACCATTTTACTACTTCGCCTATCTAGGGTAAACTTATCCTAGGTTAGGGAAGTTAGTATTTGTTAATAAATAAGGAGTCGTTTGTTTGTTTGATTTGGGTAATGGATTTGGTATCAAAATTGAAACCTTTATGGATTTAACCCAAGTCTATTATTTTTTATGGGTGCCAAATTCGTGGGGTCCACGAATTCGGTCTTTATTTTGGATTCAAATTCACTTGTAAATCTCACATATTGAGGTGATATTTGTAAATCTTTAATGGCTAATGGTATGTGTAACAAATCCATTATAAATATATCATCAAATCCATAATAGACTAAATCCATCACAAATTCCAAAAAAAAAAAATTGCCCAAAACCCTCATTTTTCAAATCCAACAAGCAAATAACCCCTTAAACTTTTATAACTTGAGTTGAGTTTCTACTTATCAAATTTCCTCAATACCTATTTATATTTCCCATACTTTTAGATTTTCTTTAGTCATATTCTTACCCAATGAAATTTAGAATCAGTGCAAGATTTCATTTTTTTTAATTATTAGACTCCATTACTCTACCTGTTATCCACATTTTCCTTCATAACCTGTTTTCTCTTTGTTTATCGTAAAAAAATATTTGTGTACGTTCGTTTTACCAAATAACTGTGAATTTTTTTTTTGTATATTCTAATCTATATCTACGCGAGTATTATCCTGCCTAACATCAATATTTCAAAACCAAAACTTCATGGGGAGGAGCAGTGGCGGACCCAGGAATTTTGAGTAGGGGTGTCCGCTTTCAAAATAAAATTAAAAATAAAATAAAATAAAATAATTCTTAAATAAGAAAAGTATCCGAATAATATTCAACAACACAAATATTTGGTTAATACAAGTTACAACAAATTTCCATGTCGTGTTTTCATATTCTGAAAATATTCTAAAATACACTCCGTGTCTACAGTATTCAGCAAATCTCTTTCAATATATCCTACGAGACAATCATTCACAAACTAATCGCCTAGTCGATTCCGAAGCTTGTTCTTGATGTAACTCAAAGCTGAAAAGGCTCTTTCAACACTTGCAGTTGCAACCGGTAAAGTCAATACAACTTTGAGAAGCAAATATACCCATGAATATGATAGATTCACTTTTGTCTTCACCATCAGCTGACACAATTCATCAATTCCTTTTAATCCATGGAATAACTCATCATTCTTCACAGAATGATAGTAATTCTCAAAGTCTCTTAGAATAAAAGAGTCAAATTGTGGATAAAATTAATATGTTTATAACTATCCGTATCTTAAAATTATAGCAAGATATGAGTTGTATTGTGATGGAAAACATGTTAGCTAATAACTAGGGTGTCCTAGCTTCGATTCCCATAAGCCATTATTTTTTTTTCTTTTTTTTTCCTAGGCTCAAATTACTACCGGAGGTTCGATAAATTTTCTCGAAGATTTTAGGGGTGTCCGGCGACACCCCCAATCCTCCCTGGGTCCGCCCCTGGGGAGGAGTTACGGTGCTAATTGTACAAGAGTTAGCACCGTCCTAACCAAGGGAAAACACTACTAGTTTGAATTAGTAGTGATTTAGCTTAGATGTTGTATAATAATCCGTAGTGATTTCGTTGTTTTTAGTAGCATTTTTTGCTAGTTATCACGATGCTAACCCCTATAAAGATTAGCACCTAATCCCATCCCAACTTCATGGTGGTATCACCGACTTAAAACCGGTGTAGGATAAAACATGTACTAGACGACTACTAGTGTTATCAATTGCTTATGATTATGAATATCAGTTCTTACTTGTGTCTGCATTCAACCATTATTTTTGTTCCCCCTTCTTTTTTATCGTTGGAGAACCAACCATACCATACCAATGACGGGAAAACTACCAACTGAAAAGTCTGCAAGCACCAGCTGCTGCTGCTGCTTAATATCACGCGTACCTATCGCGTGATGCAAAAGCACGAGAAGAGAGGATAAGCTCTTGAGAAGCCAGGACAGGGTACGTACGTGTGGGAGAAAGAAAAATAAAAAACAAAAATTGAGAAATATTATTAATTCACATACGTACGTGGCTGATGGCAGAACCCACCCTCCCAATAAATAAAATCAATAATAAATACAAATTGATGACGAGACGAGACTAGAAGCGGATGATAGCCATCCATCCAATTATTACCCGAATTAGCGACCTAAAAAGGTCAACAAATACAATATCAATAATGACTCCAATAATAAATAATAAATAAAAAGCAAAGAGATGATGAGTCAGGTCATAGTAGTACTACTACTGCCCTGCCGCCCCCCTCCCTTTTTGGAATCATATTACCCATTCTGTCAACTTATGATTAGCACCGTGAAAAATGGGAAACTCAAATACAATTTTGATAAAAATGTATAATTAATTATGCGAGCGAGTTCATCAAGTTACCTAGTCATATCTTCTTGTCTAGTTTGTCAAGAAAGTTAACTTTTTTAACCCAACACTCACGTAAATGAATTCCACATCAAAACAGCATATCCGGTTTGACCAATCTCCTTGTAATTAATAATAAAACCAATCTTATGGGGGCGTAATTTCCGGGAATTTTCCTTAACTACACTAGTTGTTAAAAACTAAATTGATGAAGTACAATAGTTCTCCACAGAATTTCACAACAATCCGATATATTTTTGGGCTCTATCGCTTCAGTCAGAAGCGATCTGGGGGTATTGATCGTTTGGCGACAAAAGCGATGCGCCGGTGAATCACGGGGGAGATAAGAGATGGCACACCCGGATCGCTGAGGTGGCAAGCAATCAATGGGCTCACATCGCGTTTGGAGAGGGGTGCGAGCGAGATCTGTCTGTGTGTGCGCGCATTGCTGGGGAGCAAAGCGATTGGACTGCATTCTCGACGCGGATCGCTGAGGTGGTCGGACATCGATCAATGCCCAGTTCACGTTTTTTACTAAAAGAGATTTCAAGTGATCCATACGTTGAACTACTAACCGTGATTAGAGGATAAGGTTCTCTTCGCATCCATTTACCAAAAAAATCTGATGGTGTACTTGCCAAAATTTCGATTTAATTGGAGAAACAAGTAGGAAAAAAAAATAAATGGTACGAATAAACTTGGCTGAAAACGAAAGGGATGGTGAATGATACAAAACTCAACCAATAAAACTATGATCATCATCCATTTATGTAGATCCCTTTTCTTCTCAAAATATATATGCACAAACTTGCAAGTACAGAAAGCAGGAGTAACTAAGGTGTAAAATAAAGAAAGCAATAACTTCTACCATTCTTCTTCTTCTTCTAGTAAGAAATAACTAAAAAGTTAATTACAGTAATTAGTCGTTTTTTCACCACTTGTACCAGCTGCCCCTCACCAAAAACAGAGGGATTGTGGGGGTAATTAAAGTGTACTTCTCCTTTAAATTTTTTTCCATTATATATAATCATCTATACTTCTATCCTTTTTCATAATTTCTTACCTATATCTAGACAACATTTTTTTTTTGTTTTCGCATTTTTTTTTTGCTGATGTTGTCGTCATTTTCTTCCCCCGACCAATCAGCACGCTGCAGATGGGTTCGTGAACGGATTAAAGAATTGGGGCTTTTGAGCCATCGAGAAGGCGCTACTACTACTACTACTCGAACCACCGCGATGGTGATCAGCGCCACCGGCGGCGGGAGCTGCGGCGGCGGCAACAGCGGGGCCGCCGCCGATCCTTTCACAGGATGGGCACAGCGATAGAGTGGCCGCCGGCACGCGCATGTAAAACTGGGGCGGCGCCGCCGCCGCCGGCTGCGGTGGTGACGATTTGAGCGCCTTGAGCTCCTGAAGCTCCTTGTGCAGCCTCCTGTTCTCGTCGGTCAGCGTCTCGCAGCACTTCTTCAACAACTCACAATCCACCTCCGTCTGCTTCAGTTTCGTCCTGCCCAAATTCAAAATTGAAGAGAGAAAAATATAGGTTTTATTTGTTTTTCTATTATTTTGGAGAGAGAGAAAATATATATATATATATGTATGGTAGTTAAACAGAAAGATATTTGTGTGGATTGGAAATTTGGAATTGATGATGGGAATATAATTAAACGTTTACCTGGCTCTCCTGTTCTGGAACCAAACTTCAACCTGCCTCGCCCGTAGATTTAACTGCCTGGCCAGAGCTTGCTTTTGCTTCTGCGAAAACTCCAAACCCCAAAAACAAAAAAACAAAACAAAAACAAAAAATCCCCCTAAATAAATAAGAAAATCCATTCACCATAAAAAAAAAAAGAAAATTAAAAGGGAGTCGGTGATGATTACAGGGTTAAGAGTGGAGTGATGCTTGAAGCTTTCTTCCAGCAGGGCGGACTGGTCTTTAGTGAGGCGGAGCTTTTTCCGGGCGGCGGTGGAGCCGCCGCCGTCGTCGTCGTCCTCGTCGCTGGCCCTGGACGAGACCACCCTCTCCGCGGTCTCCATCTCATCGGTGGAGCTGAGGACGTCCCGTTCCCTCTTCATCACCATCCTGCCGCCGCCGCCGCCGCTGGCCGCCGAGAAAGACGACACCGCGCTGTTGGGCGGCGACGCCTCCTGGCGGCTGTTCTTCGCCGCCGCCGCCGCGGCCGAGACCTGGTCAATGCTATCACCGTTGCCGGAGAGGAGGGTGAGGCTGAGAGAAGGCTCGAAAGTACTGTGGGCGCCGGAGTTGTTGGGCTTGGCGGCGGGGGTGATGGTGCGGTTGTTGTGGTGAGTGGTGGAAAGGGTTAGGCCGAGGAGGAGGGCGTGATCCTCCACTGAAGAAGAAGAAGCCATTTTTTTTCTGAGATCACGGCAAAAGAGAGAGAGAGAGAGAGAGAGAAAGAAGGAACTATGGAGCAAGGGAAAGAAGGAGGGAAGGGAGGGGAGGGAGAGGGGAAGGGCCTGTTTTTATAAGGGGACAACGTTGGAAGGGAGGGAGAGGGAGTAAGAGAGCAAGAGCGAGAAATTAATGATGAGGAAGAGGGAAAAAGAATGAACGACCTTTTTCTGTGCTGAAAAATATGTTAGAGAGAGAGAGAGGGAAGATAGTTGAGTTGGGTGGGTGGGTGACTCTCATGATTAATCCAAATAAAATGAATTTAATTTAGTTTCCCTCTCGCTGTCCTTTTTATTCCAACAAAATAATTAATTCCTTCTTTTATATCCACAATTTGGTTTAGTCGTTTAGATGCTCAATCAGATGTAGGGGTGGCTGATTGGTTTTCGGATAGCGGCTGATTCGAAAATCGACGGAAAGGCAACGATGATCGATAGTCTGTGGGGGAGAGGGGTTCTTCGCGGTTAGCCGAGTATTCGGAGGCGATTAACCGCGGTTACCCGGCTAACCGATCTCCGGCCTCACCTTCAGTATATTGGGAGACGGCACCGCCGGGGGAGGACGAGTGAGCGATGTCGGGAGGTGGCACCGGCTGAGGGAAATCGATGACGGGCTGCGGCAGAGGTGGCGGGTAGTTAGCGCCGCCTTGAAAGGTACAGTACTGGGGAGGTTGAGAAGGTGGAGGATGATGTTGGTTACCCACAACGAATCCTCTGTTCTTGGCGTCTTATTCTTCAATCTCCACTCATATGAAAATCAGAGCTCGGACTTGGGGGGGGGGGGGGGGGGGGGATCAGGGACGATTGTGTAGGAATTGCAAAATTTTATGAGATAATCTATTTATTGTCAAACGACCCCATTTTGACCCACTCACCAATTTCCACCACCACCCAAAACGAATACGGAAATCTAACCAAATTCAGTGGCGGACCTAGAAATTTTATATAGGGGTGTCCTCTTTTAAAAAATAAATTAAATAAAAAAATTAATTAATAATTAATTCTTAAATAAGAAAATACCTGACACGTTCAAGTTAAAAAAGTCCACAATGTATTTTCATATTTGGAAATAATTGTAGAATACACTTGATGTCTACACTGCTCAAAATAATTGTCTTTGTATAACCTACTAGACAATCATTTACGAACTGATCACATATTCCATTTCTGAACTTGTTCTTGATGTAACCCAAAGCTAAAAAGACTCTTTCAACACTTGTCGTACAACCATAAAATCAATACAAATTAAGGGTAGCTTGGAATTAGTTTAATTGTTAGGTTTTGAAAATAATTAGAAATAGCTAGGGAATGTGAATGTCATTTTACTATTACACAGTGTTTAAAATCGAACAACGGATGAGTTGTAGCCTAATAAAATTATGTTTAATAATAATAATAATAGTGTCCTAGGTTTGAATTATCCAAACTACCGCTTGTAGTCTCATGCGCAAACACACACTATCAACGGTTCTCGTCTTAACATGATCATTAAAAGTAAAATTTTCCATCTCTTTGAATATGCATTTGCTAACTTTTCTTTATTTTTTATGTTTGTAATTGCACAAACCATTTATTACTTATTTCAATAATTTATAAAGTGTTTCTACACTCTACAACACACAATAAATTTAGGTGCATTTTAAATGTCGTATGGCGTGACAATTAATTTATATTTTCTCAATATTTTGATTTTTAATAGATTTTTTATATTCATACAAACATTATGACATTTCGCATTTCATGTGAATTCTTGAATGTATTGTAGACACATCTATTATCAATATCTAAGCATATCGTTACTTTTTAACCCTAATTAATACATTTTTTGTGGCTTGGATAACTAGATGTAAATACAAATTGCTTACTGTTATATATATGGCGAATCACAGATGCCTGGTTCCAAGACTTAAAATCCCTGATACCCAAACCCCCTTCCATTTTTGGCCTAGCAACAAATGACCAAGCAACATGAGCTCTCTTCCTGCCTCCATCTTCCCCCACACCCCATAGAAAACGATTACATATTGCCTCCACTTCTCTTAAAACCTTCATTTGCAAACAGAAAATCGCCATCCAATACTGAAGAGTGCTTGTAATCACAGTAGAGATCAACTGCAATCTGCCCGCATAGCCGAGATTTCGAGCTTTCCAACTTCTTATCTTTACTGTGATCCTATCAACCGGCAGCTAACAGTCAGCAGAACTTAACTTTCCAGTTATAAGTGGCACCCCCAAATACAGAACTGGAAATTCTCCTAATGGTAACCCTGTTGTGCGTGAGATAAATTGCTTCTCATCATCCAAAATTCCAGCATAGTAGAGATTACACTTAGCCATATTGCACTGAAGCCTTGAAATATGATAAAACTTGTCCAGCAACCTTCGGATACCTGCAACAGCTCTCACTGACCCATTGAGAAATACCAGAAGGTCGTCTACAATGTGTGTTATCTACAATGCCTTCCACCTCAAATGATGAGGGATATGTTGATTCTCAACCTCTCTAGCCATAAGACAAGAAAAACACTCCATTGCCACTGTAAATAGATACGGGTACAAAGGGTCTCCCTGTTTGAGCCCTTTACCCCCTTGAAAATAGCCAAAAATCCCCCATTAAAAGAAACACTGAACATGTGAGACATCACACAAGATTCAATATGTCTAATGAACCCTAGAGGAAACCTCATAGCCCTTAGAACCTTAACCAAGAATTTCCAGTCAACTGAATCAAAATCCTTTCGAAGATCCACTTTCCAAACACAGTGGGGAATTATAGCTTTTGGTCAGACGGCGGCGGTTCCATCTCGCTTCGAAGGACTCACCGCTGATTTCATGGGTTATAGGGTCAGTGTCAAGGGTACACGGAGAGAAGATTGGTTCCATGGGGAAGTCTTTTATGGCAGTGAGTTGTGGGCGGGCATTGAGCTACTGGCCAAGGAGTAGGGATGTCAATTTTGCCTATACTGATGGGTATTTTACTATCCATACCAATTGGCTTGGGCATAAAATCCAAATAGACGGTAAATGTTAGAGTTTGGTGGGTTTGTACTGATACTCATTTATTTGGGTTGGGTTGAATTTTTAATCCATAAATTTGGGTTTGTACCAATACTCATTTGCAAATTACAGTTTGATACTTATACTTAATAGATTTTTAGATTTAGTACCACAAATGAATTATATGTCCTCAAAACATTGATGGAAAATTATATTTTAGTACCTAAAGTTTATTATGTCTTATGTTTTGATACCTAAACTTTTTAAGTTTTACAAATAGGTCCAAGTCTTTATATCGTAGTTAAAACACCCTAAAATAAACGGGTATTCATACTCAACTCATACTCATTTAGATTATGAAAGTAATATACATACCTTACCGAAACCTATCTAAAAATCCCACACTCATTTATACCTCACCTATACTCTACATATAATCAATTAGAGTATTGGTAAAATTACCCATAGGTGGGTACTAATTTCCATCCAGTAGAGGCTTGGACGGTTACCTGGGATAGGAGGAAAAATGAATCATTATTAGAAGGAGAGGAATGATCACCATTTGAGTTCTAGTTGCTATTGATTATTGGTACTCTGTGACTTATACATTGGAAGAGAGATATTAGATATACATCAGTTGATCGAAAGTAGTTATATAAATATAAGGGGAATATGGGCTAACAGTAAGACCAACTCCAATATAAGGTGGAGGATGATGTTGGTTACCCACAACGAATCCTCTGTTCTTGGCGTCTTATTCTTCAATCTCCACTCATATGAAAATCAGAGCTCGGACTTGGGGGGGATCAGGGACGATTGTGTAGGAATTGCAAAATTTTATGAGATAATCTATTTATTGTCAAACGACCCCATTTTGACCCACTCACCAATTTCCACCACCACCCAAAACGAATACGGAAATCTAACCAAATTCAGTGGCGGACCTAGAAATTTTACATAGGGGTGTCCTCTTTTAAAAAATAAATTAAATAAAAAAATTAATTAATAATTAATTCTTAAATAAGAAAATACCTGACACGTTCAAGTTAAAAAAGTCCACAATGTATTTTCATATTTGGAAATAATTGTAGAATACACTTGATGTCTACACTGCTCAAAATAATTGTCTTTGTATAACCTACTAGACAATCATTTACGAACTGATCACATATTCCATTTCTGAACTTGTTCTTGATGTAACCCAAAGCTAAAAAGACTCTTTCAACACTTGTCGTACAACCATAAAATCAATACAAATTAAGGGTAGCTTGGAATTAGTTTAATTGTTAGGTTTTGAAAATAATTAGAAATAGCTAGGGAATGTGAATGTCATTTTACTATTACACAGTGTTTAAAATCGAACAACGGATGAGTTGTAGCCTAATAAAATTATGTTTAATAATAATAATAATAGTGTCCTAGGTTTGAATTATCCAAACTACCGCTTGTAGTCTCATGCGCAAACTAAGAAATGAGAGTAGGATAATCATTTTTTCAAATTTCAGAGGTGTCCCCCATCAATTATAATTTTTTCGTCCATACTTCAATTAACACCGGGGGTCTAATAATCGTTATCCTAAAATTTAGGAGTGTCCGGGGACACCCCCAATGTGCCCTGGGTCCGCCACTGACCAAATCTGCTAATCATCGTCCTCGTCCTTTGACCTCCGCTCTGCAGTCACTCTCCAGACTCCAAAAACCCTTCCCTCGCCGTCTCCCCTCCGCGACCCGACGATCTCGCTCCTCCACGACCCCGATCCTCCTTTATCTTCCCCCGATCTTAGAGAGCCAAAGACAAACAACGATCGTCGTTCCGCTCGTCGGCTTCCTCTTCCGCCTTAGTTTGCCGGTTTCCTCTTCCGCCTCGGATCACAATTTCATTTTCACGGCTAACCGAGCCCAAAACTAAAAACCGCTCGATCGGTGGGCCGGTTAGCCGAGCGTGGCCTTCGGTTGGGTGTCGGTGGGCGGTGGCTATTTGGACGACTTTGGCTAACCGATAACAAAGGTTTTGATTTTTGGTTAGACCGAAATCGACCAAGATCCACCCCTCATAAGAAGTGTATGGTATGGATGTGAGCATGTGGGTATAGGATAAGGTTCCTTATAC